TGTAACTTTTAACCAAAGCGGTCGATACGGCCAGCGATGTCCGCGTGATTTTCTCTCTCGCGCATTATTTCAACGCGATGCTCCGTCCTTTCGTAGGGAATGAGAATTAAAAAGTGTTGCCAAAATTGAAAATGACTCGTTTAGAAAATAATAGATTTTTAAAGAAAAATTATAAAACAATTTTTCATTAAAAATTCTTTTCTCTTGGAAAAATCGACGATTCTTAGCATTCATTTATTTTAATAAGCAAGAAGGACAGACCGATGGAGACGACTTTGCCGTCACTCAGCGTTCACGTTTGCGCTCGATCGACTGATCGGTATAAATTGATGCCGCTCGGGCATTCGTAAACGGAAGCCGCGATTTGTCAAGACCGCTCGTTCGGAATGACGTTGGGCCGTTAGGCGCGATATGCATCGTCGCGGCGGATTTCGCATCCATAATTACGCGAGTCAATTTGAAGCCACTGTCGATTATAATTTACGCGTCCCTTTACTTGATTGACGAGTCTGTCGCTCGATCGACCATGTCGAAAAGTCCTACAATCGATGTCAGCTTTCCCTATACTGCTGTTATTAATTGCCTGATAATATATAGGCTACCGCAAACATTAGGGCTTCTTTAGAGAAATCACATTTTTTAGCTATACATTTTTATCAATATTGGATTTTTATTTGATTATTAATTTCCGGAGATTTGTAGAAGATTGTCCCAAAGCTTTTAATATCAATTTATACGATATGTATATATATTCTATTTTTTTCGCGGAAAAAAATTGAAACTTATGAAATTTTCTCGCTTATAACGTGTCAGCTGAAATATTATCTATAATTTATATCATGATATTTTAACGACTGAAGATGATGTGATTTTTATTGAAATTCTAAGTTTAATATGTTAAATAATTTTACATTAATTAGTTTCGATTTGATATAAAAACTTTATCGGTAGGGTTTTGAGAAGTATCTACGTGTATGGAATGCTGATTAGAAATTTACTGTGTAACAGAAAACATTTCGAGGCATCGCATCGTCGATAATCTTATTTGATCACGATTCATGTGTATTCCGAGGGCTTGAATTGAACTTTTGACCCGATTTCTAGGCTCGTTCTTCGTGGCGATTTGTGCCTCATGAATATTTAATGGTGCACCCATCATTCGCATCCAACAATGTACCGAAAAAGCGGTTACTTACGTCTTGGAAAGAGAAAAGGGAAGAGAAAGCGTGAAACTGGTGGCGCGATATTTCCCGCTGCTTTTTTCCTTTTTTATAACACACATTGTTATGCAAAGAGTTTGCGATACTTGTAATCCCCGACTGCAACAAATCCCCGAGAAGAATGAATATCTCTAGTGAGCTAGAATATGTAGGGGTGTTCTCAAAAGGCATGGGATTATCTCGAAACAGCGCTCCACTATTATCCGTGTTATTATATGTGTCTATTAGTATATGCTTCTATTATCACCGTAATTATAGAGTTCATAATTAAGCTCAGGATGGACGTGATGAAAATCAATATATATATATAGTAACGTTAAACGAATGGAATTGATGGCTATAATAAAATAAAGTTAAAAACTAAAAAGCGGAAAATGATGAATAAAATGTAATAAATTTTTAATTTTAGATATTTTATAATTCGATTTATTTGATTTTAATTAATTTACTATTTGTCTATTTTTATGCAATCCTTTGAAATATTTAATTCTAGAAATAAAATACAAGTTTATTCAATTTGCGAGAGAGTGTAAAATTTTATATTTATTTTATATAGAATTGAAAGTGCTAATATGTAAAAATTGTTAATATACATTTAAAAGAGTCGACAGGTGACGAATTTCATTGAATATCGTTTTGTGATAACCGCAAAATTGAATCTCTGTGTTAATCTACGTTAAGAAAGAACGATCGTAATACAATCTGCAGATCAGAAGGATCGTATAGAGAAATGAAAAGATTCTACCTTCCATCGAGAGTGTTTTTTGACGAAGGCTATCGTGGAACTCGTGGACTCGTTTTGGAATACAGTCTCTCCTATCGACGGCGGCATCTCAAATTAAATATCCCGAAGATTTAATCTAAAGGATCATCACAAGGACCTCGAGGCTCTTCCAAATCGGAGGAAGGTTTTTGCTCCTCTTAGGTCCCGCTCGATATCTCTCTTTTTTTTGTCGAAAAGGCTAATAATAAATTTCTCTATCGGTCCAAAGGGTGAGGACTAAAGGTCGGGCTAAGTCCTTGATATCGCAGATAGATAGATAACGTAATCCCGGGAGGTTATAATTTGGCTCCATTATCCAGGATACGCGCACGGCATAAGTAAGATGGGGGCGATGTGCGATCGGAAAGGAAAAAGAGACAAGATGGCGTCCAGACGAACTTTGTCGCCTCAAGGATGCTAGTCGCGTCCCTCGGCGGCTACGTCTGTCCTCGCTTGTGCCTTCAAGGCAATCGATATCCTTCCGCCGATGCCCGATGCATTTAAATTCCTTGAACGAGGTGAGATGCATGTTGAAGTGGGGTTTTTTTTTTTTGGTAAACCGATATTAACACATTGCCGACGATCAATTATCAAATAGCAATTTATTCAGCGTCTTTTTATAAAGTTCGCACAATTTGCAAAAAAAATTCATAATGGCATTGTAATTCAGGATGTTGCATTTAATATCCTTCTTATATATGTTAAGAGAGAAAGTTTCTTAGTTGTACATTGCATGATTTTGAGAAATGTGTCATTTTTTTGGAGTTGCATAAATTAATGCCAAGGATGGATAAAAAAATATTCGGGAAAATAAAGTGGATTATTTTATAAACAAATATGAATAATCTAATTACAAAATTGAAATCAATATCATTATCGTTTATGCTATCACGGGAATTATAAATAGAATTATTATTATTATTATTATATATTATAATTGATGCTGATTTTGCGGTGTACAATAATCAAACATTTTATTTGCTCATATGCACGATGATTCCAATTCGTATCTTTGCTTGTTAAGTTCTCCTCATTACAATACTTTTTCGAGGTATTTTCGATACGTTGTTTATCGATTAATTAAAAGATAGTCGAACGTGTTAGAGAGTTTTATAAAAATTACATCGGGATGGTTCGATGCTAACTAACGCCGAACATACACGATCGGTATTCGTGCCAGTAGATGTTATTTGGGTCCGAAGTTGTTTAATAAAAAAGTTTAGACGCAACATTTGCCGTTTGTTTGCATCGTCCTCTCATAAATTCGTGGTCTCGTGTAGCTCGTGCAAATTAAAATTGCGTTACACCGAAGAAGCCGTACCGCAATTTCGCAAAGCGAGTCGGAACTAATGTCAATAAAAATTCAAGCAACAACCACATCAAACATTGAGATATCGTAATGTTACAACTGAATATTTTACTCTCTCCCTGTTAGTTTGATATGTTAATTTAATGCAATACAGCATTCGTTAGTATAATATTACATTTTCCTATCATTGCATTTTTCTATGTTATAGATTGTTTGTAAAAGTTGCTTTTGCCCTAACAAAATATTCGAGAATTATTATTTATAATAATATTTTAACTTTTATTAAAAATTAATTTCTGTTATTTACTTTATTTCAAAGAGAGGAAATTTAAATAATTATTTTATTATAAATATTTGCAATTTTTTTTTAAAAACAAAATTTTTTAAATTTCGACTATAATTTTTGCGAATAAAAAACGCTGAGATAGTTAAGTGTGTCATATATTTTAAGATCTTGAATGGAATTGGTCGAAATTTTATTTACATTTTTCTTGGTACGTTTGATACCGCGGGATATCGCTTCCAGAGAAGCACGAAATGAAGAAGTCGCGCGAGACGCGTCCAGAATGTTTAGATGCTTGTGGTTTGCTATCCTTTTTCGATTTTCGTTCGCTCTTTCCCTTCATACGTCTTGTCACCCAGGACAATACGACGCTTCTCCTTTCGGCTGACTGTCCTCATGTCTGTACAATCGCTGACCCGCGACACAATGCGCATTCAGCCTCATCGCTTTATCGTGCTCTTTCCCTCTGAAAGCCAGATAGTCGAAACGAAGAAACGGAAGGATACGGAGAGGAAAGCGAGAGAAACTTTGGGGGATTACGCGAGAGGGATGCTTTCGACGACTGCGGGGGTGGCGCGAAGAGTTGGAAAGGATCGAAGGAAATTCGACAATAAAACTTTATATCGGCGGTCGACCGCGGCGTTTCGTGGCTTGACCAGCGAGACGTCAAAGCGAAAGACCAGTTTTATCTCTTTTTGTCTCCGCCTTACCTTTTCTCTTCTCGCCAATATCACGCGCTTTCTAATTTTGAACACAAGAGGCATTGTTCATCGCTGTTTTCAAGAATAGAAGAGAGATTTAGTAACAGAATTACAAAATGGAATTGATAAAAAAATACAAAAATCGATGAATCAAGAACTTGAAGTTAAACAATTTTAAATATAAATTGTACTTATGTATTAAATATAATCATATATATAATAATATATTAATATTTTATATTTTCGAATATAATTATATTAATTATATTCTAAATATATTATAATTAAAAACACAAAAAATAGTCGGTTTTCTATGTTATAGATTGTTTGTAAAAGTTGCTTTTGCCCTAACAAAATATTCGAGAATTATTATTTATAATATTATAACTTTTATTAAAAATTAATTTCTGTTATTTACTTTATTTCAAAGAGAGGTTAATACGCTAAATCGGAAGCAAATGTTAAGTATGTGGAGTTGTTTTTGAGTTAAAAATCTCAGCACAGTGGCTGTTAAAGCATCGAAAATACCCAAAATCCGTGACACATTTTCTGCAAATCGCACCAAGAAAGCCTTCTATAAATAGTTCTGTTCGTTTATTGATCGTGACATTTGAAGTATCAATGCTAAAACGATCAATTTTGAATAAAACAAGTACATATAACTTATGTAATTATAGTATTATTTCGGATATCATTGTAATGTAAATGTATTTATATTTTACAGATAAATTTTGTGCGCGTAATTAGTGCTACGAAATATATTCGTTCCGTCGTAATGTAACAAAATGCATGTCGGGAGTGCCGTTTAAAGTAAGTCGCGCGATTTTTGTGTTCGGGTACGCGCGCGAGCAAGGCGTGCGCCGCGACGCGTGTGAGTGTGTGAGTGCCTCGAAGAATTGCTGAGAGGAGGAGGTCTAGGAGAGGCGTCGGGCGACAGCAGAGCAACGAAACGGTGAGTAATTTATCATTAAAAAATTTTACATTATTAGAATTTTGCTCGCAAAATTTCGTCGAAGAATTTAATTTTTGACTATAGTGAATTAAGAGAGCTCTCACGCTTGCTACGCGTACACGATATTCCTTGGAATAATAATGCAGCAGGTATAGAATACGGTTATAGTACCGTCGGGAGTTACCCGCATAATTGCATTCCATTCAGCTGGCTTTAAGCCGCGGAAGCTCGCGGAATGTGCGACTCTGTGACGTCCGTACGCGCACACTCTTGGCGATATCGTAAATTTCAAGTAGGCGAGTCGTTGCGAATTAAGTCTAAGTGAATACCATAAGCAGATTGGCTCGAGAGAAATCTAATAATATCTTCTTCGTGAGACGAACTCATACTTAACTACGACATGGGAAATGTTATTCCGTTTTGACAGTACTTCCTCAAGTCTGTCGCTTCGAAATGCTTTCGAACTGTTCAAAAACGAATCAATGCGTACGGTTTCTGTCTATTAAATAATAAGACTAATTTTATTCTTTAAAAAATGTGATGTTGGCACACTTTTTATTTTATCATTAAATAATCAGAGTTAATTAACACCTAAATTGGTAAACAAATAATTATAACTATTAATTTTGTAATAAATTTTATCACAAAATTTTGTATATTTTACGAAGCAAGAAAGCCATCTTTATTGGCTTTGTAACTTTTATATATATAAAGATTTTATTTCTAATTGCATCGTGCAAACGCACGTGTGTACGCGTCCACTATATCGGAAAGGTCGGCTCAGTAGCTCTCTCCGGATTTACCGAATACGATCGTGAAATAGAGGGAATTGCAAATCGTTCATTATGAATTCGACGCGTGCGTGCTGAATTAGCGAATTTTTTTTCAGGATGGATCTTGATACGCGCAGAACTTTTTAAAAATGTGACAATGCGGATAGTTTTCAATTATCGGGGCTTCTTCCATAAGCAAATAATCTTTATTGAACGTAGTACTAATTTTAAAATCTTAATCTCTCTTTTATTAGTTACAAGAGTAATGATGAAATTGAAAAGTTGCGAAATTGTTACCAAGGATAGAGCTTGCAACTTCTCGTAAACTTTAATGCGACAGGGAAATACGAGAGCCTCCGTATTTTATTTTCGATACGTAAAAATGCATGTATTTAAGAGCTAACAAGGCACATAGCTCACGTAAAAATATGTCACTTGCATTTCGTGCGTCGCGTAATACACGAAGAAATTACTCGGCGTATGCAGAAAAGCTCAGTTGTTAGAACAAGTCGATGCCGTGGAAAATTCGCGTGGTTTAATGTGACTATTCACGCGATGCGGGATAGAGGGGCGATACTAAAGGGAATTTTTTGTCGCATAAAATCTCGTAATGCAGTTAGCAGCGTGGGTTTACGACGACGTTAACTTGCAAGAGCACCCTTCGCGCGGGGGAAGCTAAGCGTACTACCCCGGCCGCCCTTTTTGATCCTATTTTCGCAAAGGATCATTCGCATTTCGTGAAAGGACGAGGATGTTCTTTTATCTGTGCGCCCATACGCTCGCTCGAGTGTCCAAAGAACGGACGGACCGATGGCGCGAAATAAACGAGTTGCATTTTGCGCCGCTTTTTCCCAACCGGCTTTATAATCAGGATTAATAAGCTCGAGAGCGGCTGGATTTTAAGCTGGGATTGCTTTCTTTACTCCGAGACACACGCGAGAAATATTTATTTCTTTCAGAAGATTTTAAACATTTTTTAAATGGGAATTAACTAAATTAAATTTTACGCCGGACACGCGACGAGAATACCACTTTTTCTTATTAAGATTATTAGAATTTTGTGTCATTTAATCTCATAATCTTATTATGCTATTTAAATTCCACCTATGCCATTTTTTAAATCTTTAATAAAGGAAAAGATACAATTTATCTTGCTTACAACAATTTTTGCGTTGCTCTTTTTACCACAGCAATGTAATTAAGAATCATAATTGCCCAGACACGAAATGTAATTATTAGAGCTTCCACCGCAGAAGGACTCTTCGAATCTCTTTGGTATTGCTGCCTTTAGTATTGCTCTTGCGAGCTTCGTGTATTTTACCTCTTTATGCGGCAAATAGCACTGTACTTCGCACAAGTGGAAAAGGCTTTTAGTCTCAGACACGTAGCCGAGGAGAGATCGGAGCGTTGTGAGACAAGAAAACCGTGGAAGATTCGAGAGCTGTCAGGCTAGCAGTGATTCTCACTCAGACGCAAGATTCAGGGGCGAAGTGAGATCGAGGCGAAATCCTTTTTACAACCGGTGCGTGATTGTCCTTTCGGAATGCGGGAAACGAAACGACTATACTTTGCCCTTAACGTCCCTCTTGTGCCATCGTAAAACTTTGATAGCAACTCGTTTCAAACTGCATTTCGAAAAATAAATTATCGTCTAGTCTAAAGTCAATAAACCGCCAAAAATGTAGGTCTGTTAATATTTTACGCGTGGTTATATAATAAGTGACTGCAAGTTTATTGATTCAATCAATATTAATAAGTGTCATATTTTTTATGCATAGAAAGAAAGAAAAGAAATTTAGTGAGCTTATAAAATATAAAATTTATTCAAGTTTTGTTCGCGATGTTCTACTTTCACCAAACATAAGAACGCGAATCCATTACAAAGCACCACGTCAACTCTACCTCGATATAATGTTGCGATGGATTGAAATGGCTGCACGGATCAATATATATAAGAGAAGCAGCGTTTCTCGTAAACGACGTATTACGTTAGCGTTCAGCTTTATCTCTGAAACCGTTAGTGGTCTCGGAATCTCTGGTCCGTCAGTCTCGGAAATTCGCGAGCGCATTTATCGAGCTTATTTCCCGTCTGCGCGTTAAATGGAAGCGTCTTTTGATACCGGAACGGAGCTCGTCTTTACACGACAATGGCGCGCGACCAGCATTCTGCGGATTCCACGCGAGCCCCGGCCCCCGTCTTATTCGCGGAAGTCGTTCGCCTCGAGCTATAAAATGGCCATATAGTCGCGGAAAGAATATCGCGGGAACAATACGTCGCGAAACATGTTCTGTATACGGGGTGTCCCGGGATACGTGCGTATTGTCGGCTTTGCTTTATTCTTGGTATAATAGAAAGGATTGAGTGGATGAAGAAGATACGACGTACGAATGCTGTATTTTGCCTATACGAATTATCGGAATATTTTAGTATTTATAGAAATATAGAGGTATTCGCTAAGAGAAGAGAGTATATTAAAATATTATTAATTAGTACATTAATAAAAATATCATTTAATAAAGATTTATATAGTAATTTTCTTGTATAATACTTAATGCAATGGACTTTGTATATTTTTTACACATTATTATAAAAAAAAAATATTGCAAAGTGTTTATTATTGTTTCAAATTATTCAGACAGTGCAATTATCGTTTAGAGCTCAAGTGATTAATAGATATTAACGTTTTTACGCCAAGAAAGAATTAAATTGACCGCAACTGACAGGATTAAATTTTATAAAAGCAACTCCCTTGAGTCTAGGACACTCTGTATAACAGCGTAATAGCGGTACGCGTTTTCTTGTCGTTCGACCTCATAAAAGGCGCGAGCTTCGAGTGGTACGGGCTGAGCCACGCGAAGAGAACATTACGGAAACACGCATCTGCCGTTCTTTATTTAACTTTCAACTATCGGAGAGAGAAAACGGAAGAGAAGGAAAGAGAGCGCCTCTGTAAAACCACGAAACGATCATGTTCACGAAAGTCGTGCCGTTAAGATCGTCCCGCTTTATCGCGCGCGCGTGCATGTGGGATTTCGCGCGTCGTTGCACGACGGGGTAAACACCAGGAATCGTCCGATCGTTTTCGCTCGTTCCTATTTATTTCCCACTTTCGTTCGCACCTCCGCTGTTTTTAGCGCATTTCTCGCCATAATCTGCAGAATATTCGTAGAAAGCTTACCGTCGTTGCGCGCGACGCGAAACGTTTTCTATAGCAATTGCAGATTTTACTGTTATCGCCTCTTTCGATCACTCGCATTATCACCGTTCAAATCCATATTATGGACAGGAAGAGAATAAATATTGATACCTTATGAAAGTAGGACAACGGAGGTACTTTGTGTGTCAAAGAGAAGAGACGACATTAAATAAAAGATGTCATTAAATGAGAAAAGAAGTTACGAGCAAAAGAAAAATTTCTTTGACTTTATCCTTTTGGTCCTCTAGCATTGTTGCTCATGCAAGTTTGCCGGAATAATGCGGAAAATATAATACACCAGCGGAAACTTTTAAATTGTATATATACTATTTCTTTAGTCTGAATTAATTAATGAAACATCGACAGTTTTTCTAACAAAGTTAAATTATTAAATCCGAATCACTGAATAAATAAGCAAATTTTTCTATTATCTTGGATATCTCGCAAACAAAAGGATATCGGTTATTCCATTTCCGCGGTGGGAGAAAATTGACACAAGCGACAAGCGGATATAGACAGGGAGAGATTACGTTAGACAAAGAAGCCGAGCATAAAAGAGGTAGTAGGTATTAACAATGCGAGAGATAGGACGCGAACAGTCAGACGGAAGGATTTTAGAGTTTCCTTGGAGAAGCAAAGGTCTGCGGATGGTCCAAATTCGCCGACCGCCCTCCATTAGAGTTTCGGAGACTGCTGCCCTTTGCCAGTCCTTTACCTTGGCGGTGAGAGGCGCTTGCCGCGCGATATCCTAATGTACCCGGGTGGTTTAACCCCTTTTCTACGGGCGTTCATCGTTGTTGCTCCGAGTGGGCAAATATTATCGCGAGATAAGACCTTATTACGCACGCGCGCGCGTTAAGTATAAAATCATGCCGAGGCGAGGCGATACTACGAGGATTAATATGCGAAGTTAACGATCTCAAGTCGACAATCTTCTTCTAACGCAATTGCGTTTTATAGCGGGAGAGGCGGTTTTCCGTTCCGCTCGTTTGCGTCGAGATATGAATTTCGAGGTCTGCGCTTAAATATT